CGAACAATGCGGTGTACCGTTGTTTTTGCACAAGCGTCGTTAAACCGCCGCCCTCGCTTCTTCGAGGCGTATTGCACGAGTTCCCGCGGAAAGCTTGGTTATTAAACGGTGTCTCGTCAACGAGACGGTCCACTCGTTCGAAGTCTAGTTTTTACCGCCGCCGATATTCGTTCGTCTTTCTTCTCCCGGGAGGGTCTCGTTTCTCGTCGTCTCCAGACTCCTTGAATTTCATCCTGGCCTCCCAAAAGAAACTATCATTGTTCCGTGGAAACAACGCCGTCGTATCTCGATGGCCAGGAAGATTAACAACGGCTCTGTGGCAACGCACTGGTCTCGGAAGTAATTTTTAGTTTATTACCGAGGCCAGGCTTCGCTCGCCGCGACGCAATTTCCTCTTGTCGAGGACTTCAATTAACTTCTTTAATCGTGAACTGAACATACTTTTATACGCAGTTTATACGCAGAATGCTGGCAAAGCTCGATTCTATCAAGTTTTCCCAGCTGGAGTATTAACTCTTCTTTTCCAGTTTCTTTTAAGTAGTACGAAGACCTCGAGGTGAATTACTTTGCATCCCTTACAGCTCGAAATTTTATTGAAACAACGCCATCGTGGACTGGTATGATTTTGAGTAAATGTTCGTAATCGAATAACGCGTAAATAGAAGATTGCTGGGCTCTCCAGGTCACCAGCAATTTTTTATTGGGTTTTAGCAAAGCGGTTCACCCCCGAGGAGGCCAAGTGTCCCAGATCAGCGGTGCGTTAGGTTTCCCCGTGCTCGAATACACATCACTTCCGACTGAACGAATCAAGGGAGTCAAACACTTTCCGAAAAGACCTATACCATTGAAATTTAATACCCTGCTTAACTACCCTCATCTTTCTCATCCCCACGTTATACTTGAAGAGCTCGCAAAGAGGTAATCGTTAAACACGGCCCTCCCTTCCGACGCGTTCCCCTTTATCAGCCCAGTTACCCTTGTTTCCTGCGAGATTCGGTTGCGCGGCGTACCTCGTACATTGCGGAAGCCACACGCTCCAACGAGTACGCTCGTTTCGACTCGAGTTCCGTGTGAAACCTCCCGAAGGAGTCCTGCAGGACACCAACGGACGGATCCTGCTTTCGACCAGCAAAGTAGTTTGGACAGCGAAAACCCCGATTGCTGTTGTTCGAATCGAATATTCCACGCAGTCAACAAGCTGAAGGCTGTTGGGATAATGCATACGCAAGCCTAGGCTCGAGCACGCGCACCTAATCATACCCATTTTGCTCCGAGGGGACCGTGTATACGTTAGAAGAAACGATCCTTGAAGAGAAAGGACAGATTCAGCGGAGTCGTTTCGAAGCGAACAGAGGATGGGTGGAAAAGAGACGAAAGATGCGGAGACTAGGCGCTGACGTTGCAGAGTAGCAGAACTTTAGCGAAGGATGGAGTCTATTCGAATCGACGGAACGAAACTGCAAAGTCTAGCAAACTTGTGGTGATGTGTTATGTTGCTAGATCGTTTGACTGTAAATGGGAGAAGTTTCGTGGTATCTTGCGAGGGTAGGATGTTTTAAGTGGCACAACAATTTCGTTATGCAATAATGTTGCAATATAGTATTAGGTACTAGACTTTCCGTAGCAGTACGTTCATACTCTGTCAAATATCCGATTTACAAAGCTTCAATATTCTTACTAATGGTTGTGGGATGTGCGTATGCTATGGTGCAATTTGTGAAGATACACAAAAAAGCTTAAGATTGCAACTTAAAAGATAGAAACTACCAATGCATATCCATGACTGTTTCACACATTATCACATATTAGAATAGTATAAAATTTTGATTTTTGACATAAATGTGTTCCTCGATATCTAAAGATTCATACAAGCTCAAATATCATTACAGTAAATTACATGCTTTGTAAGTTACTTTATATAATACGACGTGTTTCCTGTTTGCACATTTTCTAACGAAATAGCTCCGAGTGCAAAGGGTTAAAGAAGGTGTGCTCCAGGTGTTCTAAAAAATATTTCCAAACACGCTAAACTGGGAACAAGGCTCTTTCCCTTTGGAATCAACTGAGAATGACATGGCCCACGAATTCTATAGCTTTTCGAAGAAACACCAAGAGTGAAGGCCGCTTCCATGTTAATAGTATCCATTTTGTTCCGAGATACGTTTTGTGTGCCCAGTAAAGACACTTTTCTCGCCCGAAGGGAAAGGACAGAATCAGCGAAGTTGGGTTCGGTTGGAAGTCGAAGGAGGTGGTGTGGGGGTTTGAGGGACGAGCAAAAAGAAGACCGCGAGACTGGAGACACGGGAAGCAAGAGACCAGTAGCTGACGCGGCAGAGGTAGCGGGCATGAATCTGAAAAGGTATGGGCCGCGTTCACGCGACGATGATTTACGGGCATATTAGGTCGATAAGATATCTTCCGGTTCGTTGACCCGGAGGAAGCTCTATTTTTAAGGCGCCTCGCGTAGACACCGAAGCTTTTGCTCCCGTCTATCGGCTCTCTTCGTATCTTCCTCCGCCCAACCCCCCGCAGATCGTTCCAGCGCCATGGATCTTGTCACGGAGCACGGTTTTTGAGGTGCGTCCGATAAAACAGCGAGAAGAAACAACGCCGCGAATGGTCGTTCGTCTTGCAGCAGTCTTTTCCAAATTAAAATAAGGGAAACAAAAATTGACCTCGTTTTTCGACGGGATGGATGGTCCACACGGCTGTTGCGAGAATAGATGTTTTATTTTGCTGCGGTGCTTTAAGGATTCTCTAAAAAATTAATTTATAAAATTCATCAATTATTTACCTAGAAAGTCCAAAGCCTAAGGGTGGATAGCGTCACAAATAAAATGACCTCAGGAAAACCGACATGACGAGTAACTGTCAATAAATAAATAAATAGGGTATTCCTGAACTGACCCAGAATTTTTAACATTGGAGGAACACAAAATAAAATCGATTCGCTGGAAACAACTTATAGTCATCGAAAACAACGTAAGAGACATTTCTTGGCGATAAATTTCACGCGAGCTAAATCTACCCGTTCTCCTACTTTTTAGGGGAGGCCGCCCTCCGAAAAGTTTGGAAACCACTGCCTTACAGCGAGCCAGACGAGCTTATCCGTGACGGGGACGACGACGTCGTTGAAAACGAAGCCCGATAAAGCGACGTTTCTCCTTTTGTGGCCTCTGTTCGACGAAAGGGATTTGAATAATTCCAGCGATCGATCTCGCGAGCGCGGAAGAACAAGACAGTTTCGCGACAGGAAAGAAAGCGTGCCCTCCTATTCCGGCCATCGGCATATTCCACTGACAAACTATCGACAAACTATGAATTACATTTCACTCTTTCCGCGCCCGAGTACGCGTCAGGCCGGAAATAAAGGGGACGCAGGTGTACAGGGACTACCGTGGATGCGAGGCAAATCACGGACTCGATGGGAATAAATATTTCATATCAGTGAAGACGCACCTCCCCCTCCCCCTTCCCACTCAAAAGGGGATGAATTATTCCACCTAAGAAGAAACCGCTGAGAGACCGCGGACCCCATCTACCGATGTTTAATGTAGAAGACTAAAGGGGTGTCACGTCGAACCCCCCCCCCCCCCCCCCCAAGGAGGATAAATCAAGTAGAATCGGAAAAATGTGTTACCCGTGTAAAATACTTCTGAAATATTATTTACTATGAATTACGATTTCCTTATTTCTAACTCCTTTGCGTCCACGAAATTCTTTCCCATACATTTCAGTTTCATTTATATTAGGAACTGCTATATTTTTCTTTTCCTCTGAACTTCGATAGTGCTTTGAAATTTTGTAGAATATTCGATTAGATATTACATGTCTCTTCTTCTTTTAAAAAATAATTACGATCAACATAGACGAGGTTTCGAAGCCCTTTAGTTTTATAATGCGACATCTCTAAGTGTAAGTCTTTCTAAGCATAATGTAGACGCGAGCATCGAAGAAACTCTCCCCTCAATGGTTGAGATGCATCTTCTCCTCGACCAGCCGTCAAAGTTGTTGTCCCTAGACATAGTCGATACTCGAACGCGTCCCGGGTGAAACGAGATGCAAACGAGCGAGCCAAGGAAATGACAAACATTTCCATATGGACGGAGACGCGCGATCAATCACAATCGACATTGCCCTGCCAAGAGGAACGGACTTCTTCAGCGAATGGGGAAAGCCAACCGGAGCACCATTCTTCACAGGCACGAAATTTACGTAAACGTATTTAGCTTTTGTACCAATGAGACCCTTGATAATAAACGTAACGCTAGATTTCAAGTGCACTCATAGTAGAGTAGGAAATAGTCAAGCAGACTTAAGTAGACTTGTAGGCTAGGCTATTGATTTGTAACTAAAACTAACACGCGTCGACAATGGAATTAAATTAGACTACAGACGCGGGATTATGGAGTTTCACGTATTTCAGCGGATAAAACTGATAGGATTTAGGTGTTTCATTGATTCTTCTTTAACGCGATAGGAATTCATGTATATATAGGCTAGATGAAAGTGAATCTTCGTTCGCGTGAGTTTCATCTCATCTGTGTTTAAGGCTCACGTGTTTCCAGATCTCTAATGTGTAGCCATTTTGCGAGGATGTATGTAGAGGCCAGGGAAAACCCAACAACGGTTTGTAGCAATAACTCTTACCGAATTTTCTTGCCCATTGCGTTAATTTTCAAACGTATGTTTGAAACGCGTCGATAGTTCCCTTTTTAAATTGACTCTATTCTTTATCCTTATCACGTCCACTGAACCTGCCTACACTAACATAATAAAATCATAGATATCTATGCAAGGCAGTATTTCCTCTAACTTGTCACTCACGGACCACCTGTGCTTCAACCCTGAAATAGAAATTCTGGACCTCTCTTCTCCGAACCGTGTCCTTCTCCAACCAGGTCGGAGCACAAAGAGCGAAGAAGAAGGGCACTGCTATCGAGATGGGACAACGCGCATACAACATAATGCAGATAACGAGGAAGAAAGTTTCGCCGTACCTGCCCTGACAGTGACGTCTCTGCTAACGATGGCGCCGACGCTGTTGACGGCGGAACACTTATAAATGGCCCAGTGGACGTCCTGCCGGAACACCTCCGCCTCGAAGCCAGGAAAGTGGATGGTCCCGTTGCCAAGGACGTGTCTGATTCCGGGGATACTCGTTATGCTGCCGCCGTCCGCTGCCAGCCAGTCGACGGTCGGCGCCGGATTTCCTCTGACTATGCAGTCCACACGGCCGCCGTTCACGTTCGTGAACTCGACCCGCGATGCCGGCTCCGACACGAAGCTGGGTCCCTGCATCTCGTACGAGGCGTCGCAGCCTGCAACACACGGGACAGATATCGGTCATAACCGGGGCCAGAGATTCTCCTTGCTACGGGTGAGCTCGGAATTCGCGCGACGCGCCATTGTAATCCGCTGTTATTTATCGCGTCATCGCCGTCGGCTCCCGTGCCTTTAATAACCACCAGGCCGGCCTTGTCTCTTGCGCAGGGATAACGGGGAGATTGGTAATGTACTTCGACTCGGGGAGCACGGAGAGCTCGGACAGGAGTCGTCGGGGATAGGATACTTGGAGTTGTTGATTAAATTATTGGGGATGAAGAAGGGAAAGATGAATTTTTATAAGAGGTTTGTAGAGAATGTAATTTTTTGGGGGAGGATGCTTTTCGATTTTGGAGGAATGGATGGTTAGATTATTAGAGGGAGAAGTTTAGTCAAGGCAGAGGCATAATACAATGCAATTTGTAAGCTCTTATCTGTATTTTTTTTTTAGCAATGAGTAGTGATACTAGTGCACCATGCAAGAGAAGGTGTTGCACCCAGGGTATAGTTAGCCATGGCCCCATCGAGTGCCGTGCCTGTGAGCTCAGGGCCCACTTACCGACGTACATGGGGTGGGAAAGGAAGTTTCAACTTGAAACACGATTGCTCGGCTGGAAATTAGGGTGGGTGAAAAAATTTACAAAAAGTCCATCATAATGACTAGAGGAGTAGAGGGAAATGATGAGACTGGGCAGGATACAGGGATGCACCCTATAGTAAGCTCTTATCTATCTCTTATCTTTTATTTCGAGACAGAAGGGAGGCACGAGCTAAAGATTGGGAAACACTGGACCACAGCACCCCCTGGTAAATCCAGCACCCAACGCGACCAGTTCGGATCGAACGCTGTCGATCCAGAAGGGGTAAAATAAATTTTCCTTACTGTTTCAATCGGCAGTTAGAAGGGCATTAATCATGGTCACAGCGCGCTGGACACCGGTTGATGAATTTTTTCTCGCCCCGGCTTGCCCGTTCCAAAGTAATTTTCAGAAATAGGGTGATGGCCGCGCAAGGTTGACGCAGAACGACCAAGAGGGGTGCGAAGGGGTGGACGAACCGAGGGGGTCGCCCTGTATCGCCGACGGGACATGGACGAAGATAATACGGGCAGCCATAAATCACACATTTAACGCTGAAATTCGGCGGTAATAGCTTCCATAAATGGAGCACATTGCGTCCACCCCCTCGCGAAGCCTGTTAACCATTCATCACTCGAGTTATGTTGATTTAAGTAGGAATGCCTGCTCCGCTCGGATGTATTCCGCATTCCGTCCAACATTGCCCATCTGAAAGCTGGCCCAACGAAGCGCACAGAATACCCCGAGGAACGTGCAACGAATATGGCGCAGCTACTTCTCCGCGTGTGACCGCTAACATTTTAGTTAATAATGTCTGATGGACGCCCCCGCGCGCGGTCCCTGAAACTTCTGGGGTGGAAAAAGCCAGCCGCTATCGCTGGGAACTCGGCAACCAGGAATCGTTTCGATTTTCGAGAGCTACGTGCACGAGCGTCGAACGTTAAAACACCGTTTACGATGATGGAAGATTCGTGGGAGGTAAATGTAATTGCCTGGGGAAGACGTTCCGTGATCGAAGTAACAACATAGGATTTTATCGATATTACGAACGCGAATGTAATTGATAATTTCGTGGGTACTTGTTGGCTTGTTGCTTTCATTGCTTTGATCATATTCGATGGATAGCTGCATAAGTCACGAAGTGGACTTACAAGGATTAAACGAGTTGGGGAAAATAAAAAGAGATGGTCTTTGAAATGTGAATGAGAGAGAAATGGAAGCTGAGGGTTGGATAAGCGTTGAATTCGAATGAAATGGTATGAAAGCGTTCAAAGTTATGGTTCCTTGAAGAATTATTCCGGTTATCCAAGTATTTGAAATTGCTTTTAGCAGTCCGAGAAAGAGAAAAATAGGTATCCTCAAAGGAGAATATGAAAATTATATGTTGCGTACTTGGAAATAAATTCCTAATTTCGTTGGAGCGATATATAAAACACTTAACAAGCATCAGCGACTGAGCAAACTATAGACGTGTGTAGCGATCGAATGGGGTACCCGTATTCCTTGCCCCAGTTGCAACATCGTAAACTTTCGCAAAGTAAACAAGCGTAATTCAACTCGAGCACTTAATATCCACGGTCGAGTACGCTGCTATTATTCGCAAGGGTACCCTACAGCTGTCCCACCGGAGATTTTGATGATGTTTCGAGAGGTAAATATAGTGACCGAACGATGATATTCTGCGGACCGTTTCGTACGAATGGGCACTTCTCCGAAACAATTAAGCTTTTAAACACAAAAGACTTTAAATACTCTTGGCTCCAACGACTTCGGAGGTCTTTAAATCTAAGTGCGCCACAGAAGGCTTGTTTCGTAATTTGAAGTTCGAGTCCCTCCTCGAATCTTTCTTCGACTTTTATTTTCAACGAATGAGCTTCATACGTTCCTACTAGACAAGTATTACGTTTCATTATACAACTATAATACTAGGTCTACCGAAAAGTTCTGTTCGTTTTTATAATAAAACAAAATAATAAATTTCTCGTATCTTGAATAAATTTTACTGAGTAATATAGTTTGTATCATTATTTATGACGTCTTGCCAGCGTAATTGCAATTCGTATATCACTTTTAACGAATATGCGCATACTCGTTGAAACTTGTAACCGGAACGGACAGAACTTTCCGGTAGACCTAATATCTTTAACCCTCTTACACTAGAAATAGGTCAATAAATATGATTATACATACTGGTACTTTTACATTAAATTGTCTTAAATTAAATAACTCCAAGTCCTCGAGAAATATTCTTTCTACCCAAAGAAGAAAATCCAGGAGGTTAAGAGTTTTATAATCATACATTTCGGTCCCATTTCGGGAATTTTGTTTCGCCGTCGATAGAATTTTCCCGACGCGACGACGGAGCAGAAAATACTTATTTCTCTCCAGGTTCTCTTTTTCTCTGGTAGCATCTCTTCTTCGGACGTGAAGTCAGCTTTAATTAACTTCCTCTCGGTACCGGAAGCACCGAAAGAAGCTCGCGTCCCAGACACGACAATTCTTATCCGCGAAAGACACGCGCAGAGTTCACAAATAACGAAGAATTTCCTCGCCGACCGTGGAAGCACCGAGAATTCTCTCTTTTCCGCTGGGATTGTTTCCAAGATGCACTTAGAACCGTGACCTGCATTACGATCTCATAAGTAATCGTAACTCCCGACCGAAGGCGGGATTCAAACAGTCTCGAGCCATCTTGTATCAAGATAAGCTCGAGTGGTCCTAAAATGATTCGGAAAATCTTCGTGCCTCGAACGTCTTAGTAATTATTGAAAAGACTTAGTAGTCTCGAGCGTGTCTTAAATGCCACACTTGAATCGTGTGCCTCGAATATCTGAGAAGCCAAGCACTTCCAATAATTTGATAAATCAATCTATTATTCTCGTACCAGTGAGTCCTCCTTCGAATCCCACGCGAACAGGAATTATCACAGCGTACGAATTCCTATAAAATAATCTTCCATGAAAGTCGAGAGAATTCTAAAATAAAACCAGGACCGTGACAAGCAGAGTTTCTCAAAAATTTTCAACAATTTCGCAGCTTCTACGAAGCTCGCGATCTCCAAGATTGTCAATTCTATTCTAGATAAGACTTTTAAAGCGTCTCGAAATTCCAGGTCCTTGATTTGTTTAAAAATCATCGAGCAAACGTTCCTGCTTCCGACCCGGGTCTATCCACCGAGGAGAAAATTGTATTATTCTGGGGAGGGCTCACCGCCAGCCATATTCTCTTTCGAGATTTCTCTAACCTGTGCCGCACCTTCTTCCAGCAATCTCGCGTTCCGTGCGCCAGGTAATACCGTCTGACCCACATCCACCCGCCACAATTTTTCTCCGCGAGAAAGAGCAAAGCTCGCCGTAAACCCAATTTCATATTTCCCGACCCGAGCAGTCCATTTCCCAGCACAAAGTTAACTTAATTTCCTATAACGTCAGACGCACATCGACCAATCCCCTGGTTCGCTACTCCACCCGCCCCTCATCTTGCAGTCGACTGGACATTCAATTAAACGCACGTTGGATGAAACATTTTGAATAACCACGCGGCTGTACATCGAAATTGCCCGAACAACACCGGAGCCTGCTTACTTTTTTCCCTTGCGGTCGAGTGAAATTCAAATTATGCTTTTAGAAGAGAAATTTTTCAAATGGGGAACCTAATAATAAAATGAAGCATTAAAAGTAACTTGTAATTCGAAACGAGGAGCTCTCTTCTCATTATGAGCTCACTTATTAAACGTCCGCGGTAGATATAACCTTATTTAGTAAAGATAGCTTTAGAAAATAACATATTTCCTTCACATTTGTTTAATTCAACGTGCCCTGCTTTTAAAACGAATTTTGCGTAAATTCATCACAATTTCAATTCCACAAAAAACCCCGGCGCAGAATGCAGACTATGATCGATTCAGAGTGGAACGACCCGAGCTTCGAGTGGAGTTCTCGACCCGACTGGAAATCGTAGCTCGCGAAGAATATCCATACGTTCCTTCTTCGCGTTTGTTTTCCCAGACCCCGTAATCCGGATTACCGTCGAGAAAGTCCAGCATCGCGGTAATTCCATTTCCCTCGACGTTGGATGGGGAACGCAGCTCGAGGGGTTTCCCCTCCACGTCGATGTCGGTATTTTTAATTCGAATAACGACGGATAATCGCACGTTAACAAGAGAAAACGCGCTTTCGATCGAATAAAACGCGTTTCCGCCATACAAGCCCATTCACCGATTCAGCTTTCACCGGAGCAAAAACAAAAAGCCGGCGGAAAGAAAGACAGGGGGATGAAAACCGCCAACCTTCGTGCCTACCCATCGGGCGCATTATTACCGTGAAACGAACAGAACTATCGAACGGGATAAAGAGTCCTCTCTTGGGTTTCATTCGCGGTGGCTCGTCCGATTTTATGTACACCGCCGTCCATAAGCG